AGGAATTTAAACATGCCATAAGTTTTCAGTTCATACATGTCCTTAGTTTAATTTAACATCAAACAAAAACAACAAACATATTTTTGTCATACATCTTCCACAAAGGGAACAAGAAATCCACAGTATTATAATGTTGTTACCTGTTTATCAATGATGGCATCAATGCTTTCAGCTACATCAAAATAAATCTATAACATAAATAGAATTAATTAGAATACTTAGGACTAATTTGTGATAATTAGAATTAATTGGAATAAATTATGAGTAATGAACCAACAATTAGCAATATTTATTACAACTAATTAACAAAGAAAAAGTTCACATCACATACAACTAAAACAAAGCATAAAAAGGATTTTCTTTCAAATTTCTTAATGGAACAATGTGAATATAGCTACATACCTCATTATTTGCATATTTTAGTTCTCCTCCATGGAACATTGGACAATTGACCAGTTGGGAGATGACTGCTCATACTAGGAAAATATGAAATATTTAACTTAAATTATATGTAGAATGATCATAAATGTGTAAACTAAAACAAATTTAACTAAATATTGTAGTAAGTTGCATATAAATAACAATGCAAATATAGAAATGTTTAGTGGTTTTGCAGATTTGCTTTATATTTATATCTGATCCTTATATGAACAACATACAGATCACTACATAAAAACATGGCTCATATGTTTACTATAAGGAAGGTTCTTACTTGCTATCTCCAGTCACTTTATTAACAACATTTCTAACTATACTAGGAGGTCTTATCAACTCTTTAAGGACATTTGACTCTGTAGCAAGAGGGAATCCATTATCCAACATCTCTTCCAATAACTGAAAATATAAAGATATAATATCATATTTTACATCACACACAACAGAAAAAATTGAAATTCATCTATCAAACAGCTGGATTCTCTACAAAAATACTAATCTCAAACCTCATATACAATGACACAATTTTCTTTAATGATTGTTTCAGTACAGTCAGAGAAATATTCTTTGATCAAGTCAACCACTCGATGAAGAAATTCAATCACAAACAAAGGTGGAACTGGAAAGGAATGTTTTCAATTCATCAATAATAATAATCATGAAAGTGTTCACCACATGTTGATGATATGAAGGCTAAATTATTTTTATCTACCACTAAGATGCCTAATGCAATGCCTGTTAGTGATAACACTTCTTTGCAATGTAATGCATACTTTTTAAATTAAAACTAGCAATCAATCTCTTGATTGGATTAGAGGCAATTGATTCAAAATAAACATTAATAAAACATTAACTAACCTTAATATAAACACAAACCTTCATTTTCAACAACAGAAACAAAGAAGAGATCATGGCGAAATATACTGATGAGATAACTGAATCCTGTTGCAATTACAGGAGAATGTCTGGAGACTTCGAACATAAAAGATGATTGTTTAGGAGCATTTTTGTCAGACAAATATAACATGAAAACCGTTCAAGAAAGTACTTAAAACTTCTCAACCAAACAAGCACAAACAACAATTTACACATAAATTCATTTACCTTTCCTTGAGCTTCGAAGAAATAATCACAAACAGAGCGTCCCAAAACACTTCTCCAATGTTTTTCCAGAAATATATCCCTAAATGTACATGAAAAACATCATATGACCTAGTGACTCACAGTAACCCATTTGGTGTAAAGTTGTGATAACTAAACAATTGAGGAAGCTGAAATCATCAAAATGGCATCATCTAACTGACTTCAACACTATTGAAATTACAGATATCAGGTAATATCTCACGATTTTATGACATTCTTTATTTTTCTGGGTATTAATCCTGTCACATGATACTTCTCATAATCTACCTTCACTGGCTTCTGACATTGTTCAAGCTTTCCTTTAATATCTTACTGAAACTAATCTCATTTTACCTCATTCAAATAATTGTAAAGTACTCTCACAATAATCACAAGCTGATACGTACAAAACCAACAGAAGAGCTTTGAGCAGCAAACAAATATAAAACCAATACATACTGTCACTACCGACTCACCCTGAATGGTTGATGATAAACAAACTGTGAATCATTGTAAAATCCACAGATAATAAAACCTATAAAAATGTATTTCTCCTTTACTTAACTAGCTTAATGGTTATAAAACTATTTTCATCTAAGTTCATTTCGTAAATATTTATTTATATTATTGCCAACATTTAACCAACATTTAAAAGCGATGTTTCCATTTAAAAAAAATTAAGATTCATGTAATCATCTTACTTGTCCCCAGACCACTGAAGACTCATGCAACGGTCTTAACCAGCTGGCTTACCTAACTTGTCTTTAATCATGGTCGTGAAGATTTTCGTCTCAATCCCATGATCCTAATTGATAACAAGTCAATGAATTGGAAGAGTCTCAAACAGTTAAACATAAAATATAACTCAAACATAAAATATAACGACAGATGAAATATCATGCACTAGGTACAAGGAGAGATGTTCTGTTTTAGTCCATTTTAATTTTGTTTAGAAAAACGTATTTCGAGATAGGAATGGACCGTGACTTCCTTCAGTTTTTTATGTATATGCTACAGAGTCCCCAGAATCTACAAACTTGCTAAAACCTTAAATATAGACTGCATTCTGGAAAATAACTTTGTTCAAATCCTGAGTTTTATAAATAAGTCTCATTCTACTCGCTACGAACGGATCGAGAAGCTCTTTCGTTCCTCTGAAACCAAAATATCAACTTAGTTGACTGTACCAACAAACTAAAACCTCTGTGTTATTTTTTACTACTGTTTGTGTTGTGAGGAAAGAAAATGAAAGAGTGAATTTCCGTAGAATAAGATTTTGATGCATTCATTTTTATACCAACTTATTGTAACAAATGATTATGGAAGGATCAAAGTATGAAATGAACGATGAATACAAACGTTATTTGCAAAGTCCATTTCATTATCAGATTGTGCTGGCAACTTGATTCTATTGCTGTATGAAATCTTTTAACTTATCATTAAAAACAAAGTGCATGTCACTTAATTTTATCATCTGCTTTTCCACCAAACTGAAATTCGCAGTCTGGCACTGTAAGGTATTTACTTTGTTCTAATGTTATAAAATAGATTTGACTATGTTCTCGTGGAGTTTTAAGAAAACATATATCAAAGAATAATTTTCTACTTCTTTCCATCAACTCAGTAAATACCTTTGCAATGACGCAAGAAAAGAGAGGGTCATAGCTGAGCCATCAAAAACACAATTGGTGACAAAAACTGGTTCACGTGATCTTCCATTTAATGTTAAACTAAAGCATTCACGAAACAATATACGACCAATCAAACATATGACTAAAAATTTGAGCATGTATTTCATTTACACTACGATACTCTTCAGTATTAAGAATTACAGGTCGATCACGGTTTGTCTCAGAAAACGATAATCAATGATTGATGATGATTTGATCACATTTAAGTGTAGTGTACAAAGAAAAGTTAAAACAAACGACAAACCCGATTGCTAATTACAAAATAACATTTCTGTTTTGTTTTCTTTAGACGACCAACCCAACAGCCATTGCAAGTTGAAAACAAGACTAGCAATAGAATATGTTCGTAGTCTTCTCCCGGATAAACCACCACAAGATCGTCCCGTATCTCGACAAATAGTTTGAGAGTCCCGGCAAGATTTCTTTCTAAGCCTAGCGTTGCCAAATGTCTAGGCATCCAAAATGTAATTTCCAAATTGAGGATTACGCTTCATGAAAAATCTTATCGAGGGCCTTTTGGAGAGCTAAGTAATTTTTATTAGCATCTCTATATTGAGATGAGCAGATATTTCTACAAATGAAATGTCGCAAAGTTTTATCATTTTGTTTAGCTTGGATTTTTGTGCTATTCACTTCTAGATTGCTAAGAACTCTTTCGATGGTTTTAAAGTTTATGAAAACGTCAAAGTCGGATGTAACAAGGTTTTCTTCAGCCAGCCAACGAATCTCAAAACATCTTGACCGTTGATCTTCGTAGGCTGTCGCTGGCAGAAGAATGTGAGACAACTCAACTAGATCATGGTGATGGTCACGATAGAGGGCACGATAGAAATGACTTTGCACAAAATCAACGAATCATTTCTGTAAATGAAGAAGCATATGACAATGTTATTGATTCATGATTCTAATGCTTCCAAACAGGCAGCTGGTGTTGTTGTTTGGACTGGTCAACTTTCTAGGTGAAAGGGATTTAGATAACGAAATCATGTAACACAGATCCTTTAGATAGAATCTATGATGCAGATATTCATAATGTTAATAGCTCACATGATGATAAGGACAATCATCTAAAATCAACTCACTGTAATGTGGAATTATCTTCCAGTGATAGCGTAAAAATCGACGATGATGTTTATAAATATCTAATCATTAAAAAGTTATCAGTTTCTTCAAGAACGTGCTACTTTTTGACAGAAAATGACTTTAATTTGCTGGAGAACCGTGCTTCACAAAAGAAAACTAAATGCAGAGTAACATGTCACTTATTAATTCAACAGAAGAAAACAAAGATGACTCTTGTAGTTAGAACAAAACAAAGGAACTTTTAAAACGGTGAGACCAATCAGCTTGAAATTATTGCAGTAAGGAAACCCGTGAATAAGCTATCAAGGTAAAACTTTAAATTGAAAACAAATAATCAGTTAATTTCATAGAATATTCACAAACCTTGTTTCTATTTAGAAATGAAAAAGTCTCCGATTTCGCTCGATGGAAGTTTGAAGTCAACAGGCAAATTGGGTCATTTTTTTACTTTGCATATGGTTTGAATGTGAATCAAAACAGGTATAATGATTTGTAGCTACTGTCATCTGTACTTAATAGAAAATATCTTTTGATTTGACGAATTTGGGGCTTGCATTTAGGTTGTCTATACAACTACGGTGCAAAAAAGATCACGTCTTTGGGGATTGCTATTTGGCTATAGACTTGTTTTAATAAACGAGGTCAGAAATAACAGAAGCAGTGTCTTTAAGAGTTTTCAAAATTAGTTTTATTGCCATTAACTCTTAGGTGCATTTGGTAGTGACATGGGCTTTCCAAACGTAGTCCAAGATCCTGAATGTTCCGTAGAAGGTAGCGTTTATGAACTATCGTCAGAATATCTACCGCTTTTGAATATATGTATTGCTTCTCCAAAGGTAAACCAACCACTTTTAAATTTTCCCTTGACAGTTAATTTGCTAGTCCTCCGTCTTCTTTCAATCAGCCTAACGAAACATTTTTCGCAATAATCAACAGGGAATCAGCATTTATATCCGTGCAGGCAATATATCCAATACAAAAGTTGAAAATTCAACCATATACTGTCCAATTTGAACAATCAAATAAGCAAATATAATGTATAAATCTATATCAATAATTATGCTTCTCTAGCATTATAAGAGATTGGTTCTACCTGTTTGGATGTGTGAAAATCCTGCTAGAGCATGGTATATGTCAATAATGTGTTGCTGCAGTTGTTTATGTTGCTCAAGAAAAAAATATATCTCGCCAGGTGAGTGAAGTTTTCGTTTCCTCTTACATACCAAAAGCTATTTACTTTTCATGATTTCACTCCCAACAGTATAAATCACGCTTTTGCCTTTGGGAATACTTTTTAAGTAACCAACATGAGCGCAAGTCAACGCGTAATGCTGTTCATCTTACAGCAGAACAAAGTCAACGCGCCATACATTGATCTATTGGGCTCATTATCTCGACTTACCATAACATTGTTGGATAGCTGTTGGATTTCTATTTTCTTACGTTGGGTCAACATAACGTAATTCGATGTAATCTGAAGCTTTCCATTCAAATTTATTATCGATTTCTTGCTTTAAAACATCCTCAGTCTTTGATTCGTAAACTTCAAGAAACATGTGACGATAATTCATCTCATCAGTAGGACGTGCTATACCATACTTGCCACAAAGCCAAGGAAAACTGCAAATGTGGAAAGTGAAGATATTCAATGCTCTTTCCTCGTGTCAAATAAGTCAAAATTGACGTAAAAGCGATAAAAAACATTTACCTTTTCAAATTTTCATGGACGCTATCGTTAATTTTGTGATCCTTTGTGAGAAAACGTTCTTTAAATTCGACTGTGTTGGGAGTGGAAGGTTCATCTACAAAATATTACACAAAATGAATGTCACTGGACTTAGAATCTCCTAAAACAAAACTATCAAATTTACCAGTTTTTGAAGATGGCTTGAAACTAAGAGAAGTAGATGAATTCAAAATTTTTGCTGTGCTGCCACTGGAAAGTTCATCTACAAAATTTAATACGAAACAATGACACTGGACTTTGAATCTCTCAAACAAAAAATATCAAATTTACCAATTTTTGAAGGTAACTTGGCACTCAGAAGTTTTCTCTTTTCTTCAACTAAAGGTTAAAGTTATCATTATTCACTCATGAAAATATTTCGTGCAATTCTTAGCTACATTCCTCAGCTACATTCCTCAGCACTGCTTATACATAATTTATTATAATTATTTCAATTAATGAATTTCTCACTAATAAAAATCCCACCACATTAGATATACCTTTGAATGTTGATGCACTGCTTCTTGGTTCTTCAAGACAGGTATACGAAAATGAACTTGACTCTGAAACAAATAAAAGATAGCGTAAAACACATAAACTCTTTCACCTCAGTAAAGAACATGCCAGGTTTTATTAAACAAGAATAGACAGTGCCATTTCGAATTTGAATTATAGGATAGTTGTATCATTCGGACTTTTAACACCTTTTGATAAGAATATGAAAGAAAATCATCATATATTTGCGCATAGATCGTGAAACAAACATTTATCTAATGCAACCGATGTTTTCTAATGACAATGCAAAGTAAAACCTTACAACTGTAAATATGATCATGCATAGTGTCACAGAATCCTAATTTGGTTATATCGTTTAACATAAAAATTGTTGGTATGACTAAGCTGTAAAATGTTCCTGAATCAGCTCTTGTTTTCCAGTCAGTCGACCTTATGATTTTTGTGCACCAGAAGAGGCAATTCAGGAAAACATTGCAAGAAATAGTCTATATTTGCCTTCCTTGACATAACGCAACAGATGTGTACAGGTTTATCGTTCAATGCTCATTCACGTTTCTTATGAATCTTAAACACCCTGCCCATGTAGGCTCGTAAGTCAGAGATTTCTGTTTGCCATTATTTTTTAAAATTTTGAAATCTTTCAAGACTTTATCATCGATACGCGTCATCCATTCCTTGGGAGCATACAATTGCGCAATAACATCTAAATTTAGAGAGCTTGTAACTTCTGATTTTTCATTTCGGTTGGTTCCCCATATCACACAGCATACTAAACTTCTCTTCATCGGATAGTAGATAAGGGTGTTTTAACGCCTTTTTGGCAGATGGCCTGTCTTCTGGTGAATGTTGTAGCATCCATGAAAGAAGATCTTTAAGTACAACATCATCGATTTCCATCAATCCAACAGGGTTTCCATCTAGCAAATTTTCAGTCTATACTTTAGAGGTCCAAAGGATGTTTCCCTTTGTTGCAACATAATAAGCCACCATTCCTGCATTCTAAAATATATAAAAAACATAACAGTGTCAACAAATGATTTCTAAAAATTTGGAAGTAATTTGCAAATGGTTATATTTTACACCCACCATTACATCAGATTCTGGTTTGTATCGTGCTTTATCAAATGACTCTTCATTAACAACGAACGATTCAGGAGCCATCCAATCCTGAGTTCCCTTAGTAGCATCACTTACATGTGTCATAAAGCCATTCTTCAATACTCGACTGATACCAAAGTCGGCTATCTGAAATTTTCCTTGTGCGTTTCGTAGAACATTGGAAGGTTTCAAATCACGATGAAGAATTGGACGCGGACCTCTATGAAGGTCAGCTAATCCTTTAAAATTTGTTTAAGAATGTCGGGAGTAATTTTTGAAGGTAATCCAAACTATTTGAATTTGATTCCACATATTCCTTCAACGACTCTTCACACAAGTCGAGTATCAAATAGACATATTCTGTTCCAAGGTTTTCATCGTAGAAGGAATAATTCACAACATATTGCGAGTACTTTGCGTTTCCCTCATTCAAAATTTTCTTTTCATTCTCTGCTATTTTAATGCAGCTATCTTGACGAATTCGTTTCACTGCTTTTTCACAGCCATCCATTCCCAGTCCAACATAAACACGGGTTCCATCGTTTCCTTTGCCAATGAGAAATTCGTCTGAGAAAATTACCCGTACATTGTTCAAATTTCAACCTTGTTATCAGGGTGGTGCACACACTCAATTAACTTTAACAACATTTCTTTGTGCTTTGTTGATGCATCAATGTGTTCCACTCTTGCAACTGCGTGTCTTAAAATAATATAAAATAAATTAGACATTAATGATGAAAACATTCAAACAATTGGAGTAGTTGAAAGTTTCCATCACACACAAAATTCGGATGGTGGCAATTACTTATCATATATTTCTGATTTATGCAATTGATTGGACAGCAGTATAAAGGTATAAGCAGATACCATAACATGTACTTTTTATTGTGAAATAAAGTTGTATATAATTACACCTAGTATTTGCTGCTTTTGAGTGTAAAAAACGTGAAGAACATGTTTATCATGTGTACAGCTATCTAATCAAGTCACAAATACAACAGAACAAATTTATTTCAAATCTGAACTTTTACTCTTGACTCTCAGTACTTATAAAGGCTGAAACACACTGGGCAGTCGCTTCAGTCGCGCGTCTTGATGCGCACGCGTCGCAGTCGCTTGACGCTAGAAAACACATGCAGCGACCATCGCGACTTTTACCGTGGCGTCTATTGAACATGGCGGTAATTTTAGTTTGTTACAGACACAGATATCACTTAATCTTTTTATTTTGGCCTTTATTATAGTTACTAATATATGAATATTTACTCAGTACAAACTACTATGTGGAGAAAAGAGAACAAGCCAGTTAAAACACGCCAATATGATCACTCGTATATTGTGGATAATCATATTCTGTGCATTTAGGTTTTGCATTGGGTTCCAGTTTGTAGCTCCTATTGTCCTATTTGATAAGTCATATAAAAACTGAAAGATTCCAGTGTGAATTCACTATATATTGCCTTCTTTTTCAAAGGTATAATCTATAAATTTCGTATGATGCTTATGACAGGAAATATGATATGCATTTAGGAAGTTAAAATGTATCTATTGGCCAATCAGTGTAAAGCGACTGAAGCGACCAAAGTCAAAGTTCAACATGTTGAGCTTTCAAAGCGACTAACTGACGCGACTACGCTACTAGCTTAGTAACCACGCAAAGCGGTAGTTTTAGACGCGACTAAAGCGACTGCCTAGTGTGTTTCAGCCTTAAGAAATTCGATGCTCGCCTGTCCAGCAATCTGTTATGTATTCACTTTTTATTAGTGAAATTAGATCACAGATAAGAGACCATGCACTATAAAAAGAAATCATCAATTTTAAACTTCAATTTAAACTTCAAACATCAATTTTAAACTTCAAGGAAACCATAATGCATGGCTCAAATTTATGATCTAATATTTTCAGAAAGGATTTAGTATTGTCCATTTTAACCATCATTTCCAAATTCCAATACCCGTGATATGATATTGTACATTTTTATTTCTGGTAAATTTACTGTGGTAAAAAGTATTTCTTTGATAGTAACTTACTGGTTAAATGTTCTTCGAGATCTGGAATTGATTTCCCTTCAATTAGCCTCATGATACTATGTACAAGAAGAGGAAGCTTAGGGAAAACATGCAGAAAATACTCTTCATAGTTACCATTGCTTTGAAGCAGTTGTGTAGGAGGTTTATCGTGCCGATGCTGGTGAAAGTTTAGTAAAAAATCTACACAACCTAACCATGTAAAGTCGTAGTGTCGTTCATTGAAAAGCTTTAAGACTTCAGGGTTAATACAATCTTTCCAACTTATTTGACGATTCAACTGCATATGGCCACCTGAATTAGGAGGATGAAGTAAACGCGATATTTTTGTCATTGGTTGGTTACCCAGGTCACAGCATATCAAACTTCTCTTTATCAGATAGTACAAAAGGGTGTTTAAGCGCCTCGTTTGCTGATGGTCTGAGTTTGGGATTTAGCTGTAGCATCCATGAAAGAAGATGTTTAAGTTGAACATCCTTGATTTCCTTCAATCCAACAGGATTTCCACGAAACAAGTTTAGCAATCTACACTCGTCAGATCCAAAGGATGTTTACCTTTGTAGCAACATAATAAGCAACGAGTCCTGCGTTCTAAAATCAATAAAAACAGTGTGAATAAAATTCAACTTTATTTAACACATGGTTACATTTTATACCTACCATTACATCCGACTCTTTTGTAACTTGATTGGTCAAACGACTCATCATCTTTACAATATGATTCAGGAGCAATCCAATACGGAGTTCCCTATTACCAATGCTTGCATGTGTCGTACCGTCATTCTTCATTATTCGGCTTAAACCAAAGTCAGCTATCAGAAATTCTCCTTTGCGTTGTAGAGAACATTGGAAGGCTTCAAATTCCTGTGAAGAATAGAACTTGGCTCGCGGTGAAGATCAGCTAATCCTGTTAAAATATGTCTGAGAATTTTGGGAAGAATTTTGAAGATCCTCCATAGTAGAAGAATGCACAAACTCTCCAACGATTCTTCACATAGGTCAAGTATCAAATAGACCCATTCTGTTTCAGTGTCTTTTATGAAGTAGGAATAATTCACCAGATAAGTCGAATTCTTTTCTTTAATTTCATTAAAAATTTTCATTTCTTTCTTTGCAAAATCGATAAAGTTGTACTGAAGTATTCGTTTCACAGCTTTCCCGTAACCATCCTTGCTCAGTCCAAGATAAACACGGGTTCCATCACTTCCTTTGCCAATGCAAAATTCATCTGAGAATATTACTCGAACATCGTTTAAAAGTTTAACGTTCACATTAGGATCTCGCCCATACTCAATCATTCTTAAAAATAATTCTTTGTGTTTTATCGATGGATCATTATATTTCCATTCTTGTAGTTGCAATTCTGAAATTGAAGGAAAAAAATTAAATTTAGAAGTGAAAGTGGATAATAAAATACATAAAAGTAGTTAAAGATAGACTATTACAATGAGAAATTGGATAGCGACTGTACAGTTTGTTAAAAGAACTAAAAGCGACCACTACATCATAAACCACCTGTTCAACAAACAGTTCTAGCAAAGTGTTAGAGAGGATAGTTGATAACAAAATTAATGAATAAATACAATATGACTACAGATTAGAAAAATACAGAAAATACTTCAACACTCTTCATACCTATGGATAAAGTTTTGAGACCTGAACGGTTTGATGTTATTCCGAACGCGCAAGGCGCTGCAAAACGCTGGACGCACTGGCTCGCGACATTTGAGAACTTCATCGATGCAATACCGTCCATTCCTGATACCCGAATAAATAAACTACACATTCTGGCGAATTATGTCACCTCTGATGTTTATCAACTGTTCTGTGAGACTGAAACCTACGATGAAGCCATCACTACGCTGAAAACCTTATATGTCAAGCCTCCGAACGAGATTTTTGCTCGGCATAAATTAGCAACACGTAAACAACAAGCAGGCGAAACCCTTGACGAATACCTACAAGAACTGAAACACCTAAGTAAAGACTGCAATTTTCGTCAAGTCTCTGCTGCTCAATATCGGGATGAAGCAATTCGGGATGCTTTCATTAGTGGTCTATTGTCGGGAAGCATTCGACAACGTTTACTGGAGAATAAACAGTTGGATTTACAAACGGCAGTTGACCAAGCTCGAGCTTGGGATCTGGCACAAAAATCATCGGAGACATACAATTCGAATCCCTTCACAAGCGCTGCTGTTACGGCATCTAACGGACATGACGAAAATAATGAAGAAGGACTAAGCGAGAGGTATTTAGCCTCCACTTCACGTTCCGCTAAGTGCTTCTTTTGTGGTAATAAGCAACACCCCCGGTCATTATGCCCTGCGAAAGAAGCTATCTGTAATAAATGTAAAAAAAGAGGGCACTACCAAAGAGTTTGCCGTTCTTCAGCAGTAGTCCCTAATTTGACGCAATCAGCTCACATAACTCTAGCTGCAACGGGAGAGTCATTGCTAAGTTAATGTATTGACATTCGTCTAAAAGAAAGAACTGTTACAGCTCTGGTAGATTCAGGAAATACTCATTGCTTCATACATCCTGACTTGGTTGAGCAACTTTCATTGACAGTTCATCAGACCAAAGAAAAAGTTACGATGGCTACAAGTAATTATTCCACAAAAATGCAAGGATATTGTCTTAGTGATATCACGGTAAAATGCCGGTTGTATTCTCAGGTTAAGCTATATATTCTGCCCAATCTGTGTACTCATGTTATTCTAGGGCAAACTTGGCAAGCCCAGCACGAAAGTGTCACTATCCAGTACGGGGATTCTGCCCCTCCTTTGAAACTCTGCAGTTTAACAGCTTTGAACCTAGACCCCCCACTTTTGTTTCAACATTTAACAGAGGGTTGTAAACCGATAGCTATTAAATCAAGGAAATATAGCCGAGAAGACAAAGAATTTATTACAACTGAAGTACAAAGGCTTCTAGATGAAGGTATAATTGAACCGAGTGAATCACCGTGGAGAGCACAAGTGGTCGTAACTAGAAACGATCGACAAAAAAAAAGATTAGTGATTGACTACTCGCAAACTATAAATAGATTCACACACCTGAATGCTTATCCTTTGCCTAGAATAGATGATATCGTCTCTAAAATCGCTCAGTACAAAGTTTTCAGCACCATTGATTTGAAAAGTGCGTATCATCAAGTCCCAATTCAAAAAGAAGAAAAGAAATATACTGCTTTCGAAGCTAACCAGCGTTTGTACCAATTCCGTCGAGTACCATTTGGAGTAACGAATGGAGCAGCAGCTTTCAAAGAATGATGGACAACTTTATCGCTAAAGAATGTCTAGAAGACACGTTTGTGTATCTTGACAACATCACGATTTGTGGCCGGGACCAAGCCCAGCATGACATAAATCTCAAAAAGTTCCTTCAAGCAGCTAGAAAGCGAAATTTGACGTTTAATCAAGACAAATGCTCCTTCTCAACAACCAGTATTTGCATCCTCGGTAGTATAATCGCTAATGGAGAAATAAAGCCGGACCCGGCACGATTGAGACCTCTGCGAGAGTTACCTGTCCCCCGTGATTTAAAAGAACAGAAACGGATTGTGGGTCTCTTTTCTTACTATTCTCAATGGATCAAAGACTTTGCAGCAAAAGTAAGACCACTGACACAGAATACTGTATTCCCAATGGTAGGCAATGCTCTTACTTCGTTTAACCTACTTAAGTCCGATGTCGAAAAATCTGTGGTCCAAGCTGTTGACGAAGCACAGCCCTTTCAGGTGGAAACAGACGCTTCCGAGTTTGCTCTTTCAGCCACTCTCAACCAAAACGGTCGCCCAGTTGCGTTCTTTTCGAGGATGTTAAGCGGATCAGAACTTAAGCACGCCTCAGTGGAGAAAGAAGCAGCGGCTATCGTAGAAGCCGTGAGGAAGTGGAGACACTACCTTACGGGTAAGCATTTTATGTTAATTACCGATCAGAAGTCAGTAGCTTACATGTTTGACACCAAGCAAAAGAGCAAAATTAAGAACGATAAGATAATGAGATGGAGGATGGAACTATCCACTTACGATTTTGATATAATCTACAGAGCAGGAGAAGAGAATGTACCAGCGGATACATTTTCTAGGATAAGAGCAATGAGCATGACCTCCGATAAGCTGATAGAGCTTCATGAATCCTTGTGTCACCCAGGAATAACGCGGATGGCACATTTTGTAAAAAAACCGTAATCTCCCGTTCTCTATGGATGAAATTAAGCTCATGACACAATCCTGCAAGATATGCATGGAAAGTAAGCCCCAATATTACAAAACAGAAAATTTCCATTTAGTAAAAGCGACTCAACCCTTCGAGAGACTTAGTTTGGACTTCAAAGGACCATTGCCGACAACTAATCATAATAAGTTTCTTCTTACTATAATAGATGAATATTCGAGATTTCCTTTTGCTTTCGCTTGCAAAGACGTTAGCGCGGAGTCAATTATAAATTGTCTCTGCGAATTGTTTTCAATCTTCGGTATGCCTGCTTACATACATTCGGATAGAGGTTCCGGCTTTATGAGTGCAAAAGTTAAAGACTTTCTCCTCCAGAAAGGAGTCTCGTCAAGCCGAACCACACCATATAACCCAGAAGGGAACGGCCAAGTAGAACGTTTGAACGGCACTCTATGGAAGACTATTTCCCTCGCGATGAAGACGCGAGGACTACCGACCAGCTGCTGGCAAGAAGTTTTGCATGATGCTCTTCATTCCATCAGATCTCTGTTGTGCACCGCTACTAATGTAACACCTCATGAACGCCTCTTTATCCACCAACGAAGATCGACGAGTGGAACTTCCATACCAACGTGGTTATCCAAACCTGGACTGGTACTGTTGAAGCGTCAAGTAAAACAATCTAAGTATGACCCATCTGTCGATGAAGTAGAGCTAATCGAAGCAAATCCTCAGTATGCGCATGTAAAATTTCCTGATGGAAGAGAAGATACCGTAGCCACTAAGTTCCTCGCTCCACAAGCTGAGGAAAAAGAGAGGTTATACGAGGAACCGCTACCACTATCGCCTTATAAAGATAATACTGTAGACGACCCACGTCAACCTCCTGTGGCCACAAAAGACGCTAGGAAACTAAATAATAGTTCGCCAAAGAAGGAAAGAGAAGGGAACTCACTACTAGAGGATCCCGCTCTACCTGATCAGTCGTCTTCACAACAGACACTACCGTTACGCCGCTCGCAGAGAGAAAAGAAACAACCCGACCGCCTGACATATACATGATATGAAAAAAAAAAAAGGGACAATCGGGCAGAACCAGTCTTATTTAGATTATTTAATTTGGATTATATAGTTATTTCAAACAGGAGAGGGTGATTGTAGTGATTATTACATGAAGTAATCATTACATGATTATTACACCCACCTTAGTAACCGCGCCTAGTTTGAGATAATGATTTATAAAGAGACATTATGTAGCTTTTGTTTAGTGTTGAGTAAAGCCTTATTCTGAAAGGTTGTTCTTTGAGTACTTGAATTCAAACTTTTACTTCACACACACCCTGCCGAGTTTTTACTCTAGCTGTACTATTATTTTTATGTTCAATAAAAACAAACAAAAAACAGATTTTTTCAAAGAATGACAAAGCTCTTAACACAAAACTCTTAACACAAAACTTAACACAAAACTCTTAACACAAAACTCTTAATACAAAATTTAGGGGGTGTTTACATGAATCCGGAATGACTTTCAATCCCTATCAAAACGTGATGTCAATCTGTGTTTACATGGGAAACCAACACAAGGATTGACACTTTGCGGAAATTTTGAAATTTGAAGATGGCGAACATAAACATTATAGCAACCCTTTTTTTCTGCTCCTCCCGCGTTAATACAGCTTAACACTTGCATGAAACTAATTGATGTTTTTCTTCGCACTCACTTTAGCCCATTTAGCCGCCTTAGTTGCTAATGAGCTTCAGTTTCCCAGAAGACACTACGCACGGCGCAAGGGTGCTTCGTCATTAATCACAATCTCATTCCAGAATGAAACTCAATTTGAGTTTACATGAGATTAAAACTAAATTTCGATCCGGAATGAAAATAGGAATGAACTCGAACCGGATCGAGTTGTGACCATTCCGGATTCATCTAAACATACAATAGAATTTCTTTTGAAATGGAATGAGTTCGTTTCGGATCGAAAGCCTGGAGGAGAAAAGGAGCCTGGACCCCGTGGTCAAAGGCGGTAATGGCGGATTTTGGCGTTCAAAACCAGGTTAGCACTATTTTCCACCCAGCAAACCGCCCTTTACACAATCGGAAACAAATTAAAGATGGCGGCTAATGGGAAAGAACCAAAAGCTAAAAGGAAACCATGCATGCACTGGTGCTAGGTCGTTT